AGCAATGGCCAAAGGGACTGTTGTGGAGGAAGAATTTTCAAGGGAGAGAGTACACAATAGTCAGAGAGATCACTGTGCAAATACACATACTTAAGTAGGCTTTACACACTATTTTCTAAGGTATCTAAAATGGGCCACTTCCTATGGGATATAGTTTTCTGTCCAGGAGATCGACAGGCCCATTTAGACAATAGTAAAGAAAAATACCGTTGTTCTTTACCAGAAAGCCTCTAAAGGCTACTACTCTCTGGATCTTTCTGGTAGTTTAGAACAGCATGTCTCCACCCAGGTCTAGAGATACAATGCAGATCCCAGTCTTTGACCAGTAATCAAGTCCTGAAGCTTCAGTCAGTTCCAGGGTTTACAAGCTGTTGATTATGAAGGAGGGGTCCATCCTCAATGACATCACACATGCTGATAGCTGCCTAGCTGCCTAGCTGCCTAGCACCAGTACTGAAGGAGGCTGAGCTGGACGGTGATCAATTTATGAATCTAATTAAAGCTGGTGGAAGGCTGGTAAGGAGTGGTGTGGTGGTGTGATTTACTGAGCCTGCTGCATTGTTAGCACAGTGTCTGACGTGAGAAGGCAATCAGGCAATTCTTGCTAAATTAGACTGATGCTGGGGTGGGGGGGAGGGAGGAGAGAGGGGCTCCCAAGTACAGTGAGTAAGGATGTTGGTCTTGCCACTTGCTTTTGTTTGGATGCTTTGACGGAAACATTAACTTGATAAATTAGAGTCCACAAAGGAAGAGAGCCTGGGCTCTTTTGACATTCAAAACAGCATGTTAAATGCTTTATAACTGGTTTCTATTAGTAGCTTGTTGTGTTTGACCTCTGCTGAATTTGAGTTCAACTGAAATATGAGTGAGGGTAGGTTATATGTATATAAACATATTCCATGGAAGCTGCAGGTACTGGGTCATAGAGTGGCTTTTCCTGGGGATGAGACATCTGTCAGGACTAGATTGAGAGGCACTTTCTTTTTTTTAATTTTTTTATGCATTTTACATACCAACCATAGTTCTCCCTCCCTTCCTCTTCCCCCGTCCATTTACTACAACCCTCTTCCCTACCTTGCTCCTCAGAAAGTGTAAGGCCTCCCGTGGGAAGTCAAAGCCTGGCATGTTCAGTTGAGGCAGGACCAAGACCCTCCCCCTTGCATCGAGGTTGAGCAAGGCATCCCACCATACAGAATGGGCTCCAATTTGATTTAAGTGTTTTATGGAAAATATAATACACAGTCCACACACAAAAAGACAAACAAACAAAAAACATATTAAACAGAAGAAATACTTGAAAACTCGAATTTTCAGTTGGTTAGGCTCAACCAAACAGAAGGGAATGGAGAGATTGGCCATTACTTGGCAGCCAGATCTTGGCCTGTTCTCAAGCTCTCCAGTACTGGGAATACAAACAACATAGCCTTCTTCTCAGTGCCCCACCCAGTTTCCTCACCCATGGGCTCTGCTTTGACAGTCCCCCCTACTTACAGCCAGTTCTATGTCCCTGCAACATTGTGCCTCCCATTTAGTGCTTCACCAGCAACCCCTTCCTGTCTTTTACAGTTCCTCTTCCTCTACCCATAGACATGTGATCCTCATTTAAATCCTCACCTAGGGTTGAGGTCTGGGCCTGTTGGTCAGCTCTTGTAAGAGTCTTGTCCTTCATAAAGACTCCATTCTGGCCTCTGTAACGGGTCTCTTGCCTATCAGTGTGAGTTACTCCTTGGTTGGGATTGGTTTTAATCCAGAACCTGAGGGCTGGTTATCACTAGAAATCCCTTACTTCCCCGCTACCTGAACCTCCTTGTGCTTCTGCAGCCTCTCGAAGCCACTTAAACGTCTAATCTCCTTCTCCTCTCAGCATCTGCCAATCATGCTGCAGTTAACTAGGCCATCACACAAATGATATGAGCCATGCATATTTCTTTGAGAGGCAAGACCCTGTAGAAGTGAAGAAGGTAGATTTTCCAGGGTCAAGCTAACTGAATTAAAAAGGAAATTTAGCTCCACCACCTACCATCTAGGTGACCTTGTTGATCATTAAAAGCCTGATTCTACTCCACATGCAAGGTAACAAGTTAGTGGGCCACAGTCTCATGGATGCCGGCAAGAGATACAAGACTCCTGGATCAGTGGCAGAGAATAGTTTATTCCTCACAGGAAGAAAGAAACCAGAGCATCAGCATTTGTGCTGGCCTCTTACACTTAAAACTGCACACAGAGCATACTGCATTGCAGGAGAGTCCTCAAACACAAGGCACCCAAACCTACTCTGTCCAGGGGAAGCAATCATCTTTATTATAGTGCAAACCATTATATAGCAAACACTTCTGCTTTTTACTAGGAAGGAGTCAGTGTCCGTACCTTTGAAGGGCATTTATTGCAAAAACATCCTTGACAGAGCAGTACCTCTGTAAAATGTGCTGACAAGAGAGGGGGTAATGCAGGGAGGAGGAGAGAGCCATGAAGAATTATCTCCCAATAACCTTCTATAAGCTCACAAACCTCAGATCTCATTTTAAAAAGTGCAACTATTGGTATAAAGTATATCCTTGTGAAGGTCAAAGAGATGCGATTCTTACAGAAGTCTGCACATCATGCCTGCCACCCTGAATCATGCCTGCTTCATTGATGAAGGGGCTTTGTCTATGTCAATTTCTACTACAAATGACATTTCTTGAGTAAGGTGCAAACATGTTTATTGAATTCTATGTAACTTCTAGCAAATATAACATTACAGCTCACTGATATTCCTAATGATTTGAGCCACAAAACATTAGAACTGAAAACTACCTAAACTTGGTGTCTTATAGATAATGAAGTAGATTCAGAACCTTTAAGTGACTTGTTAAATTCCATACAGAAAAGTCACAAAAAGGACAAAAAAATACGTGGCTTAAAATTCAGATCCTCTTAGGGGCTGGAGAGATGGCTCAGCAGTTCAGAGCACTGACTGCTCTTCCAAAAGACCTGGGTTCAATTCCCAACACCCATATGATGACTCACAACTACCTGTAACTACAGTTTCTGGGGATCTGACATCCTCTTCTGACCTCTCTGGGCGTCAGGCATGCACTTGGTATACAGACATACATGTAGGCTAACACTCCTACATGTAAAATAAAACAAATCTAAAAGATGTAAAATTCCAGATGTTTTTAATTACACATAAAGCCTAGGAGAAAGAACTCAGTACTGGCATCACGAGCCAGGTGAAGCAAGGCTTTAGAAAATAGTGCATAAATCCATTTGGCTACATCCTTCTTCCTACTTTCTGGACTTACAAGCCACCTTAGACTTGCTGCAGAAGGAAAACATAATCAAAACAAATGATAGAGAGTTAAGTACGTAATTGTTGAGGTCAGGCTGTGACATATAAGCTACAGTTTGTCTGTATTGTATAAAACAGTGTCTTGCCCTGAGAGACTCCATTTAACAATGAATCTTTGACTCCATCTTGAAGACAGAAGATGTCCCTGCACTTGTATGGAGATATGAATGGGACCGTCCACCTGATACCACCCATGAATCAGGGACTTTTCTTGGAGTAAAAATAAAGCTAGCCCATAAACTTATTGTGGTGAACCGAGAATGTGGGAGTCCTTGTTGTATTGAAATTTTATCAGGAAAACCAAGCCAGAGAACTTATCAGACATAGCAGACCAAGGAAGGAGTATAATTCCCTCACCTAAACCCCATAAAGAGGTAGACCCCATCACTGCAATGATGAGAGCAACCTGTCATCTGAGCACCCAACATGTGCATCAAGGGATGGAAGGAGAACTCCCAACTCTCGGAGGAGCTTCAGCTTAACCCAGTCACACTGCTGTCTTCTCTACCTCTTGTTCATCTACCTAGACGGGCCATCCATCAATCTACCTGACGTGGTCCTGCCCCTCACTTCACATAATTCCTACAGCCCATCTCTGATTCTCATTCTACCACCAGCAGCTATAGCAGCTTCTGGCTTCTTCCACAGCTCAATTTAGTTTGTTATCAATATAAAGATTCTTAGATCGTTATCAGTTTCCCAGCTTTGGCCTCTTAGGCCTCTTGAAAACTCCCAGAAACCCCTGCCCTTTTAGTCCTTTGCTGCCATTCTGTAATATGCACACGCCTGTGTATGCAACACACACACACACACACACACAAAACCTGTAATATGTGATCTGAAAGTTCATATCAGTAATTAAGATTGGAACTTATTCCTCTTATTCTGTGAAAGTTTCTTCAGGGTTTTTTGCTGGAACATCCTACCCGCCTGGAATCAGATGCTGTAGAGATAGGCACTATCCTCAGGCTTTGACCTCCTGTTGAGAAAGACTTTCTCTAGGGCGGGCATTTCTGGGTCTTCCAGCTGGGTATTTCTTCCCACAGGAGGTGTTTTCTCTCATGGGCTCTGAACCTTTTCTCAAAGAAGTTGCTGCACACCTGTCCCAGTTTGCATTCTTGCCTAATCATATCCACCTGGTAGTGGATCCAAGCGGAGATATTTTACACAAGAGTACTAGGCATGGAGCCCCTAAGTTCCTACTAGGCCCATCGCAATAGACATGCTTACATCTGGGAGCTGGCAGGCCTTGCCAAGATCCCTATTATAGACATATGTGTACACAGGGATTCACTCATGTCCTTCCCTCCTCTAAGGATGAATGTGAATACATGCTTTAAATTCCAGGGGCATTCCAGTTCTCTCCTTGTTTGGTTTTCAAAGTTGGAATAGAAGATATATCAGACATAGTTCCTGTGTTATAACTCTTGGGATCTTTTGCTTCACTCACTTCATGTTTTCATAGATGTGAATTTCCCAGTTAAAGACTGATTTACACCATCTTACGGCTAACTCTGAAAAATGTGCCCCCTGAAGTTGAGATGGTAGTGTTAACAACTCAATGCCCAGTTCATTTGATTGAAAGGAAAGTACTGCATAGGCAGGAAATGTGGGCTTTGGTGTAGGGATGGATGCTCTAATATTCTTAATGTTTTCTGTGCCCCAGGTTATGCAGATGTATCTTCCATTCTGTGGAATCGCCATATCTAACGCTCAGCTCTTTGCTGCCTCGAGGAAGGAATATGAAAGAAGCAGGGTGAGTAGAGAGAGACATTGCAGACCCTGCTTCAGGCTTGCTGTCTTCCCAGCTCCTGTAAGACATCCCATCTTTTTTTTGGTCAGAGTTAAGGCTTTTATTAAAACAATGATCTACATTGTCATGGCCTGGCATGTCTCAGCCCCAAGCCATGACAGCCATGAGGTTCGGCCTGAGTGGGGGAGTGTGGACTTGGAGCTTCCTAGTGTAAGACCCCCGGAAAACTCAGGTATCCGGGGTCCCAGGCCACAACCAAGGTCACCCCAATCACCAGGCAGATTCGAGAGCTTGCTGCAAACTGCACGAAGCGTTATTGTAATTTAACAAGTTAACCCCATGTTAGCTCAGGTCTTTCACCCTCCCACCATGGCGGATGGCTCAAAAAAGACAGCTCGAACCCGCTGTGTACCGATCTTGTAGGGCAGCGTAAGGGGAGTGTCTAGGAGTACACACAGGCTCACTATTGGTGTGCCTCCAGCCTTGGAGGGCTTGCCCTGTGTTGATTGGTCAACTGGTTGTTATGGCCCATAGGCCCTCCCAGGGTGGTTGCTATGCTCTGCGTCATTGCTGTGTGCTTGTCGGTAAAGTCCACCCAGGGTCGTAAAGCATAGCGCCACCAGCTAACTTCTGATTGGTTCCTTGTCACGAGGCAGGCATCTGACTTTCTAGTGACTAAGACAAGGTCATAGAGCACGTGTTTGGCTGTTATGGCTGCCAAAAGGGAAGCTGGTCCCTTCACTAGCACCCCAACATCGATAAAGACCAAGCATAGGCACCTTGTCATCTTTAGAGAGCTCTCAGTTCCATGTTGTAAAACTGGAGTCTCTTGTTTATTCAGCATCTTCCTGGCTGTCTCCTAACCATGCTTCCAAGGCCACGAGGCCATTTCTGTCTCCTTCAGCTGACTCCTCTCTGCTAGTTGGCCCCGAACTCTATCTGTGTCCTCACTTGTTACATACACTCCTCGCCCTCAGCCCAGGTGCAGGCCTATTCAAATGCTTAGTCCTGTAGAGATGCAAACTAGGAGGCATTCTACACTGAGGCCATGCTATACAATAGCACACTTGCTCTCATCTGCAATACAGTTGTAGGCCGGAGCTGAACCAGAGGTTTGTACCTTGAGATGATATTTCCTGCCCCCCCAACTGTATATCTTATTTATCTCATGTACTTAAAAATTATCAGGTTTTTGCAACATAAGCTGTTACTGGTTCTTTTACTTTTTTTTGTCTTTGAAGATTTTTTTATTTGAATTAGAAACAAGATTGTTTTACATGATAATCCCAGTTCCCTTCTCCCTCCTGTCCTCTCCTACCCCCCTCCCAACTAAAACCCTACCCATCACATACCCTTTCTGCTCCTCTTGGATGGTGAGGCCTTCCATAGGGTGTCATCAGAGTCTATCATATCCTTTGGGATAGGGCCTAGTTCCAACCCCATGTGTCTTGGCTCTGGGAGTATTCCTCTATGTGGAATGAGTCCCAAAGTCCACACCTATGCTAGGGATAAGTACTGAACTACTATAGGAGGCCCCATAGATTTCCGAGGTTTCCTCACAGAAACCCATGTTCCTGGGGTCTGGATCAGTCCCATGCTGGTATTCCAGCTATCAGTCTGGGGAGCAAGAGTTCCCTGATGTTCAGGTCAGCTGTTTCTGTGGGTTTCACCAGCCTGTTCTGGACCCCTTTGCTCTTCACTCGTCCTTCTCTGAATCTGGATTCCAGTTCAGTTCAGTGATTAGTTGCGGGTGTCTGCTTCCACCAGCTGCTGAATGAGGGCTATCAGGGAGCATATAAGTCAGTCATCACTCTCATTATCAGGGGAGGGCATTTAAGATAGCCTCTCCTCTGTTGCTTAGATTGTTAGTTGGTGTCATCTTTGTGGGTCTCCAGACATTTCCCTAGTGCCTGATTTCTCTGTAAACCTAAAATCTCTCCCTCTATTATGGTATCTCCATTCTTGTTAT